CCCTCCCCTCCCCTCCCCTCCCCTTCTGTGAATTAATAGAGTTTTCAAGGGCTCTCTGTAATTACTTGACAAAACAGAAATCAGATGTACATTTAAAACTACTTATAAATATTTTCACATGGATAAGGTTGTGTCTTAGAAAGTCATAATATACTGTTCATAGGCTATTAAGTAGGCTTAACTATTAAGATGTTTTTACGTATCAGTTATTTTAAAGTATAAAAGCTCCTATAAATTTATTTTCAGGTGGAACAGCATCCAGGCAGAAGGGATTTTTGGGATGCATTCGTTCATTACGGTTGAATGGAATGGCCCTTGATCTGGAAGAGAGAGCAAAGATAACACCAGGAGTTGAACCAGGCTGTCCTGGACATTGTAGCAGCTATGGTAACCTGTGTCACAATGGTGGAAAATGTAGAGAGAAATACAGTGGATTTTCCTGTGACTGCAGTTTCTCAGCCTATGCTGGTCCATTCTGCAAGAAAGGCAAGCATATCTTTTAGCTTTATCAGTTACTGAAAACAGGACCATACAATCCAGATCAAGATCTTCACATCCCCTTAGGGATATGTTTAAATGCTTGCAAAATGTTCAGTTTGCGTAATGTTGGTAAATATTCAGCTGAATTTACTCAGTATCTGTTAGTTTTGCTAAACACTGTTCTTTCAGAAATAACTTCAATATATGCCATTTAAGCAAGAACCATATTACCTGAGAGGATCAGCATCTTCCTGCAACTTTTTGATTCTTTGGTACTATAGTAAATCTAGGAAATATATTTGTATGGTAAAGCATTTGGAATTCTGTCTTTCAAATAGTAATCTCAAAACTCAGTCTGAGTCTGGAAAACAAACCAAGAAACAGAAGAAATTTAATCTACTTTTTGTGGTAAGAAGAAAGGTCTCTGCAAAGAGGACTGAGCCCATTTTCCAAGTCTTTGGTGAAGTTATCATACTGATAGATGATCATCACAAATCTTCACATCTGAATTTCAAAAATGGAAGTTTATCTAGAAGTTTTGGTGTTTACATATCATTCAGATTTGCAAAAAAAATTGCTTCTTCCATGTATTAAATGCATTCTGCAAAGTACTAAACATCTCATATTTCAGAACTTAATGTTCCTCTAAGTTAGCACAAAATCTGCCCTGTCATCACTGCCACCACAAAAGTGAGGGACCCATTAGAAGACTTTCCATATCTAGCACTGCTGATCTAATGCCACTGTATGAGGAACAGTGTTTTCCTCCTCTGCATCCATAGAGAATAATGGTCGCACTGTAATATTCAGCAACCACAGTGACAGAGTAGCTTTTGTTGCTAACAGTGTTTGATGACCTAAATAATATCTTACTGTCAGCTTTTTTTGTCAAATACTCGGCCAGATTACAGAAAATTCAAGATATTTTTCCAAAGTGTGAAAGCTGTGATCCAAAACACTAAGACAATTGCTTTTAGTAGAAAACAGCTATGAGAAATCACAGAATTACAGAAACCTTCTATAAGTGATTTGTGCATAAGAAAACCATAAACTACTTTATATTTTCCTTTTCTTTTTCCCCCTGACCAGTCTCTTGTACCACATATGTGTTTCAGGCTAAATCTAATCTATATGTTAGGATTTAAATTACTGCACCCACGTCTTTGTAGGAGCAGTATACATAGAACACAATATATTGTGTTTGAGGACTGGGAGGATCAATAGAAAATATCCTAGAAAAAAATGCGCTTCTTCTGCTTTTGCCCTAAACCAAATTGTGCCTTATACTTCTATGTAATTCTAAATGTTAGTTTCATTTATATTTACTTTTTAGCTTTATCACAATAGTTTAGTACGCATTTTATTTTCTTCTGTGGTGTGGCAGTGTTAAAAAAAATAACCAACCAACCAACCAAAATAAAAGATCTCTAGTGTTATTTTGCATTATATTTAAATATTTAATTATATTTTGTTTCAGAGATCTCTGCCTACTTTTGGACTGGCACTTCTGTGACATATAACTTTCAAGAATACTACACATTAGCTAAAAATTCCAGTTCTCATGCTTCTTCTTTCTATGCGGACATGACATTGACCCGGGAAGAAATTACATTTGCCTTTCGAACAACTCGGACACCAAGCTTACTGCTCTATGTCAGCTCCTTCTACAAGGAATACCTCTCGGTCATTCTCACCAGGAACGGTGAGTTTTCCGATTGGATGTCTGGAAACACTAATGAACATCATAAGTGTCAGCTCAGATTCTCTCTGACTTCCAGGCCTGAATCACAAACTATGTATTGTCCTGTTGTTTCTTTAGAAAGTATGTTTTCCAGCTGCATCAAGCAACTCTTTCCACAGGAAAAACATTCTTCCTACTGTACTTTCAACTCCCACTACAGTTTTTTTATTGTGTTGTCAAAAATGTTTATTTCTGAAAATCCTTTAGAATTGTTTGGGTTTTAAAGTTTGGAAATGAAAATTAAAACTTACCTGAGCTGCGTTATACTCATGAGGCCTATTAATTGCCATCCTCAAAATAAATAATGAAATAAAATCCTTTTGAAAGTGTATTATCCATTTCCCAAATTAATCAGAGGTCATTTCATTAAATTGATTTCATAAGCTACTTATATACCAATGAAAATATATACATACATATCTGTAAAAGTACATGTAACATTTATTGATGCTTCTATTTAAGCTAAAAATTAATTGTTAATTGGATCTTTCTCTTCCATTCTTTCCTCTAAGTCTAGGTTTGTTTTATTTATTTAAGTAAAAAAAAAGCACAGACTGACTTAAATCTTCAGGTTTATAAACAAAGACTCTTCGCAGTCACAGTGGTTCTGTGCGCAAGGAAGGTTCTCTGCTTTCCTAGACACATATTTGGATATAGAATAACTGCATTATCCTCCCCATGTGACATGAAACGTGTTGTTCATGACTGCCTGGGTCTAATACGGGCCTTGATTTTTCTAGTGTGATTTGAAAGTTGTGGTCCATCTGCAGCTGAGAAGGAATTTTTGACCAGGAAATTGCCTCTGTGTTCTCCTCTGAGTCTTTGTGTGATTGTGTACAGATGGTATTCTGTGAGTTAACTATAGGGAATGGAAAGTGAACTGGGAGTTAGTACACTGCATTCTATTTAATTTTCAAATGGTCAGAGGTTTACAGGACTGGACTGGGAAAACGTTATTCAGGAATTATGAGTTATGTTTGATAAGTCACAATTATGGGAGCTACTAGACTGAGTCTTTCTCAGTTGAATTTTGAAAGTAATTATAAAATTTCTGCCCAAATTTTAACTCAATAATCAAAACTGGGACAACTTATGACTATTTTTGCCACTATATCCTTCTTCCAACATTGCTATTACTCATTCTGTTGCCTTTAGTTTCTCACTTATATCCATTTCTCATGGCTAAATCCTTAAACAAATCAAGCATTTGTTTTGCCCTTGAAGTACCCCTGCAAAGCAGTATATAATCTATACTGCTTATAGTGTGTGTAGTGTACTACAGTTTTTTTCTCTTTATCTCTGCAGGGAGTTTACAGGTTAGGTACAAGTTAGATAGCCATCAAGATCCTGATGTCTTCAGCATCACTTTCAAAAGCATGGCTGATGGACAACTACAACATGTGAAGATTAACAGAGAGGAGGAAAAGCTCTTTGTAGAGGTAATTCTGTTGGGGGGGAAGTAAATTATCATAGAAAAGTAGACATGCAGAATGAAGTAACTACTTGCAACAAGTCAATTACCCCCAAATAAAATGTGCCCTCATATCTCAAGTAATCAAAACAAAGTTAACACTCTCATCATGCACAGTCAAAATTAATGTTAGCCAATCTCTTTGATGTTAATTTTGTTTATTTTAAAAGGTCATTATCAGCTCATAATTTTATATGAAAATGCAGTTAATTGTTTGATGGTTAAATTTTCAAAATTTGGTAAACTTATATGACTGCTGTTGTTTCTTTTGGGTCTGGCATTTTCATTTTTTTATTTTTCATTATTTTTTATTTAAATTATGCATTTAACTACAGTACAAATATACTATACACCCAGATAAAAAAAATTAAAGTCTATTTGTGGCCTCTTTTTACATCATGAAATTAATGTGGCTAGTAAGGGGGATATTTTTGTTCTTTTTGTGGAAATTTCATGAAAAAATAAAAACATTTATTTTGCTTATGGTTGATACTAACATGCAAAAAAGTTTTTTGTTTTTTTTTTTAATTTTAAATTCAAAGTGTATGTTACAATTTAGTATTTTGAGGTAGAACCTGGTTTGTAATGGTACTTGTCTTGATGTTGTTGTAGAGGTACCCTGAGAAGCAGAATATTTACAATATAATATTTGATGATTGTTAAGTTAAATATTGAGTGCCTTTTTAAAATGAAAAAAGACTTTTTCATATTCTTAAAGGTTTGCTATTTTTATTCATCTTAGAGGTGAAAAAAGAAGGAATCAGCCAAATCAATAAGATAAATAAAGGCTTATTAAGTGGGATGCTTAAGAATATGAGTTATAATCAGTGATCTGAGGAAGCTGAGATTCTATTTCCTGATGAGTTTTTATGCTATAAATAACAAATGCTTCCCTCAGACACTCTTATTTTTAGCCTTGAGCTTGCCTGGTTTTTCTGAAAATATTGACTACTACATCTTCTTCCATTGTTCTACTTTGTTCCTCACTCTATCATTCTATAGGTTAACCAGAAGGAAAGAATGAAGTTTATTCTGTCTTCAGGCACAGAATTCAATGCAATCAAGTCTCTCACACTTGGCAAGATTTTAGGTAAGTGGAACACTGCAGTGTTTTCTAAAACTACAGGGTTTTCTAAAACATGCATCAAAATGTCATCGTGAGACATGGAAAATAACGCGAATGCCATTGAAAGACATTTGTTGTTGTGGATTTACTTTGACACAGAGTCACAATCAAGTTAGAAACTTCAGTCTTGTTGAAATACAGATATAATCACAAATAAGTGCTTCCTGAAAAAATTATCAAGTGGGTTCCATTAAAAATAATTGTACACTTCTCTCTCATTTTGCAATCAAGGATTAAGAAATACAACTTTGTTTTCCATGCTGGAGAAAAAAACAAATCAAATTCAAATAGTACAAAAAGATGATATAATACTATTAATCATGTATCATACTTGAAAAACTTCCTGTGATTAGATTTTGATGCAAACAATTGTGAAGAATATGGTAATGTAAGTCAAATCGGTTGGAGATTCTATATCTCATGATGAGTCTTCAAAATATGCCTGTTTCTCTTGAATAAGAATGAAAATGAAATTTACCTATCTACAATGACCATTTTTTATGTTCTTAAAGGAAAATAGCAATAGCCTAGACTAAAATTCTCAAGATCTTGTTATTTCCTACCTTTCACATTGGTAAAACCCAATGAGAGAGGAAGATTTGATGCTGGTGCAAATTTAAAGGATATTTCTCTTTAAATTAATTTCACAGAATCATAGAGTGTTTTGGGTTGAAAAGGACATAAAAAATCATGTAGTTCCAACACCCCTGCTGTGTTCTGGAACACCTTCATCCAGACCAGGTCATTCAAAGCTTCTGCCACTGGCTACTTCCCATGAGGACATGCACTGCTTCCCTAGGCAATCTGTTCCAGTGTCTCTCACCCACAAAGGCGTAGAATTTATTCCTCATTTCCAGACTAAATCTACAACTGTTAAGTTTAAAGCCATTTTCCTCTGTCCTATTACTACAGGCACATGTCAAATGCTACTCGTCAGCTTTCTTGTAGCCTCCTTTAGGTATTGGAAGACTCACCTTGGAGGCTTTTCTTCTTCAAGCTTGAACAACTGCAACACTCTCAGACACTCTTTATAGGAGAGCTGCTCCAGTACTTTGATCATCTTCATGGTCCTCCTCTAGATGTTCTCTAACAAGTCCATGCCTTTCTTGTGCTGGGAACCCCAGAGCTGAATGCAGTGTTCCAGGTGGGGCCTCACCAGAGCAGATCAGAGGCACAGAGTCACCTCCCTTGCTCTGCTGGACCCGATGCTTTGGATGCAGCCCAGAATCATGGAATGGCCTGGATTGGAAGGCACCTAAAAGATTGCCTAGTTCCAACCTCCCTGTGATGGGCAGGAACACCTTCTACTAGACCAGGTTTCTCAGAACTGCATCCAGTCTGGCCCTGAGCAGTCCCAGAATACAAATGGCATTTGGACTGTGAGTGCACATTGCTGGCCCATGTTGTGCTTCTTGTCCACCAACCCCCCCAAGTCCTTCTCCTCAGGGCTGCTCTCAAGCCGTTTACCCCCCAAGTCTGTATTGATATTGGGGATTGCCCAGATCCAGGTGCATAACTTTACACTTGCCATTGTTGAATTTCATGATTCACTTGGTTCCAGTCTCAAACATGCCTCTAGGTGGCATTCCATCTCCCAGGTGTGTCAATGGAGACATTCAGTTTAGTGTCATCCACAGACTTGCTTCAGATGCACTCAATCCTACCCTTGGTGTCACTAGAGAAGACATTGAGCAGAAATGGTATCAGTGTGGGCCCCAGGGGAGCAGCACCTGTCACCAATCCCTGTTTAGACATTGAGCTGCTGTACGCAAATATTTGAGTAAGGAGATCCAATTAATTCTTTATCTGCCAAATAGGTGGCTGTTGTTTTCAATTATGAGTGTTATCTATAACAGGTAGTAGAATAATTTTAAATATATAATAAAATGCATACAGTGATAGTTATTTTTATGAGAATAATTACCAAATGCTTAATAGCTTAAAATGTATTAAAGAAATTTAGAAACCATGTTTATAGACCATAAAAAAAAATCTTAGTTATTGTTTAGTTATCATTAGGAGAATCTCAGTGTAGCTGATTTGTTTTCTTACTGGAAAACTAAGTACCTCTAACACAAACAGAAATATATATTTTTGAAATGTAGATTTTAAAACTAAAACTCACAGTCCAGAAAAGAACTAGAGTGTAGATGTGCACAGAAAATGGAAAAGAGAATGATCACTTAAGCATAACTTTAAAGCAATATGAGCTGAAATATAAACCACGACAAGAAAATTGATACGAACATTTCCAAACTTTACAATTTGTTGATAAATTTGAATCAGGAATGTATAATATTTTGAAGTGTTGTAATTTATTGCAGTCACACTCATGTAAGGCTAATACCACAGTGGCCAGTACAGATTAAAAGCTTCTTTTATCTTTGTTATATAACACCAAAAATTATATCCATTTACTTAAAAATGCATTTGGTGAAATTTATGGAAATTTACATTTTTAGACAAATTGCATATTGGTCTTTTGACCAGGACCAATATTATGTCTTCCAAAGAGCCATACAGTTACAAAATTTCAGAGGTGGAATTTTCTTCAGTTATATGATGACTTTGCAATGACAGCAGTGCAAAGCAGAGTTACAATGACCTCAAGTGGGTCACTTAATCCAATTTGACTCAGAATCTGTCCTGAAGAAAACATATATTTCTCCCCCTTTCAAATGAGAGTTATTATTTCTTTTAGAAATCTGATTGCTTTTCATTCTGATTCCTGTGAAGTCCTATCTAGAGTCTGAAGAAGACTTCATGACGGCAGAGGAAAAAAGTAATGAATGTTTGTTGCAGTGAAGAGGTCTAAACATAAGGAGTTAACAAAATGTGAAATCATGTATTTCTTGTACTTAAAGATGTTCAGGAAAACCACACAAGGAAGGGTTTTTTTTAATAGTGTTATCTTCAGTTGGAGAAGTACTTTTCTGAACTCTTCTTCATGCATTTGAGCATGACTTACTTTTTTTCTTCAAACTAAACTTGTGCAAAATCTCCTGCTCCAGCTGGATCCCTGTAAATCTATGGGACCTATTCAAGCAAGAATACTCAAAAAACTGGCTGATGTCACTGCTAGGCCTCTCTCAGTGGTTTTTGAATAATGGAATCTGTACAAGTTCCAGTTGACTGGAAGCTTGCTGATGTTGTCCCAGTTTTCAGTAAGGGTATGAAGGCTGACCCAAGAAACTACAAGCCTGTCAGTCTCACTTCAGTGCCTGGTATAATTATTGAGAAGGTTAATCTGGAAGGCACTGAAAAACAGCTGAAGGACAATGCAGTCATTAATCACAGCCAGTACAGGTCCATGAGAGGAAAATCTTGCTTATGAAACCAAATTGATCAAGGGAAGCCAGCTGACATAATCTTTTTCAGTAAATCTTTTGAAGCTGTCTCTCACAGGATCCTTCTGGACCTAATATCCAGCTCACAGCTGGATAAACACATCTTGGGATGGGTGAACAACTGGGTTACAGATCAGGCACAATGGGTTACAGTGAATGGGGTGACATCAGACTGGGAACCTGTCACTGTCCTGTGCTCTTCAACACCTTGATAAGTTACTTAGATGCAGGACTGGAAGGTACAGTAAGTTTGCCAGTGATAAAAATTTAAGAGGAACTATTGTCTCCCTTGAAGGCGCAGAGAGAGGCCCCACAGAGAGATAGCAACAATTTAGAGGGCTGGGAAGTTGCCTACTGTATGAAGTTTAACAGAATCTGTAATTGGATGCAAGGACATAATAGGGAATGAGATGCTGGGAAGCAGCACTGCAGAAAGGGACCTGGGTTCTATGGCGAGTTGAACATGAGCCAGCAGTGCCCTGGCAGCCAGGAGGGACAACCCTGTCCTGGAGGGCTTCAGGCACAGCATCACCAGCTGGGCAAGGGAAGGGATTGTCCCTCTCAGCTCTGAGCTGGGGCAGCCTCACCTCGAGGTGTGAAGTTTTGGGTGATGTAATGGAAGATATAAAGCATCACAGCTCTTTTCTTAAAATGTTCTAATAGGAGCTGTATATCTGATGTATTTCTTTGTGACTGCTTCTCAAGGACAAATGATTGAAACAGTTAAAGAGAATTACTGAGTGCATTTTGCTTTTTTAGGGATCTTTCTTGTTTGTTTAAATTAAGAAGACAATATAGGTGGAGTAATTTTGTCTATGGTGAACTTGGGTACACTTAGCAAATTAATTGCTCTTAAGATACTTAAGGAAGCATAGCTTCAGTTTACAGTAATATACAGTCCCCAATAAACAACTTGTGACTGTTTTTGAGTGTCACTTTCAGTCAGTTAAATTTTACTTAGTGGGAAAGTGGATGATGGTGGTCTTCCCCAAGCCCCTTCACTTTTATTATCAAGATTAAATCAATATAAAGCTTTACTTTATCCCAGCAATATTTTCTAGTCAAGGACTCAAGTGAAATCAAAGGATTTAAAATATTTCCTTTCCTATTATACATATATAGAGTTTAATAAATTATTTGTTTAGGAACTAAAAAATAATAGAAACTACTCTCCTCTTGAGGTTTTCAATATGGCTCATACTTAGAGATATATTTTTATCACAGGAGGTTTGAGAAAATATTTTCTTGCTACTTCAGTGTTAATATTTTTCTTAAAGCATCCCATCCTGGCAGATCCTTCAGTGCATAGATACTAAAAACAGCTGCAAAGAAAGTAGAGACAGCCAACATCTTATGTAATCCATCCATGTAGGTGAGAAGACTTTTGGCTGGCATCCATCTATCAAGTAGTCTATTATCACTGCACTAAGCAGAGATTAGTTGAGGAAAATGCTACTCTGCTATATTGCAACATTCTATCTGAAGACATTATCCCATTTTTCACTATTAGCCTAAACTTTATTGAGGATTGTACTGTAAAACTTAAAATATTATGGTAGTTATTGTAAAGATCACAAGTTCATTTGTGGGTTTCAGGACAAGTTGGAAGTGAAAATTAATGAGATAAAATTCCCACTTCATTTGCAAACTTATTTCTGAGTCCTCCTTTTATAACTAATACTTCCAGAAATTTTGCTTGAATTGGACCTGTCAGAGTAAAGAAACTCTTTCCTGCATCAAAAGTAGTGCATTAGTGAGCATTTCTTGTGAATTGACAGAGAATTCTAACATGCACAGTACTTGTCATATTGGTAGACAGAGTGAGGAGGTATCTTCTTTTTTTTTTTTTTCCCCTCCCCCTTTGTAGTACCAATAATGGTATCATATCTTAAAATGTGTAGTAAATTTGAACACTATTTATTTTTTAAATTTTCACAGAAAATATCTTGATGGATTTCCAGGATCTGAGGATCTGAGATCTTCAGGGTTTTTGTTTTGACAGACTTGGTGGTTCTGGAATGGAGTAGATATATGCGTCTATGGAATGAATATATTCCAAAATTATTCATTTATGAGAAGAAATCCAATAAAATGCATTTTTCTGGAATCCATTCTTCAATATTATATTTTGCAGAGTCAAAAATGTTGCATTTTCATTTAAATGCTTTGTTTACACTAGAAACTTTTTGCTTTGGAACTTGCTATAGGAATTTAAAGGCATTTCCCTCAGCAGATTACCAATTGTCATCTGTTCAAAAAAAAATGGGGGTAGGCTTGAGTGGGCCTGACTGTCTTTTCATTAAATCAGACAAGAAAGGGATTCAGTGAATCTACATATGTTGCTGCAATTCAAATATACTCAGAGGAACACAGGTTAATTATTCATTTATTCTTCTGACACTTTATTTTGTACATTTGTACTATGATTAATTGTGTTCTGTTCCTTTTGATTAACAGAAAACAGCGATGTAGATGAGGAGACTATGAAGGCAAACTCTCAGGGGTTTGTTGGCTGTCTATCTTCAGTGCAGTTCAACCACATTGCTCCTTTGAAAGCTGCACTGCACCACAGTAGCTCAGCCCCTGTCATTGTAAAAGGGCGTTTCACTGAATCCAACTGTGGTACTTTAACTGGAGCTGACTCAACATCAAGTGAAACAACCCATTCATTTGCAGGTAGCATATGGTTATCACTTGTTCTGATCTCTGAAGCAAAATCCAAATAGAATACTCATGACCTGAATCACAACTGACTTTTTATTTTTCCATGTGGGTTAACATCTCAGGAGTAGTTTGTAAATAATTCTCTTTTATATGTACTTACTTTCTTTTTTCTAGCTTTTCTCTTTTCATCTGAATGTTTGCATTTTTTTTTTATCTCTGCAAAGTGTCATCTACATTAATGTTCTGTGCATGCTTACTGACCCACACTACTGCTACTGTACCGTATTGTAAATGAACTATAACAGCATGAGAATTTCTTAAAAAACACATCTCCTATTTGTCTGTCATTTTCTTTTTTTTTTTTTTTTCTGCTGCAGATCACTCTGGACCAATAGATGAGGGAAAGCCCTTAGCTAATGCAATCAGAAGTGACTCTGCAATTATTGGAGGTAATAGGGACTGCAAAAAATCCACAGGAACCATTTTTTCCTTACTGTGAATCTGTTAGTGATGAAGTCAGTTTAGCTTTGTGTGCATACAGAAACTAGTAAAACTCTTCATTTTCACTACACTTGGTAGACTGATAAAAGTCAAGCATTGTTTTAAAATACAATTGATCACCCTTTCTTATTACATAAATTTAGCTGTGTTTTCATGTATTGAAACATTCTGCTGAAAAACAAGGTAGTAAGGACAGAATTTCAACTTGCATAATAGTGGAGTCTATGACTATAAAAAGTACTTGGATTTGTTGTGAAAAAGCATATATTTAAGAAAGAACCATCATTTCTTCTTGACTTTGCCAAAAATTACCTTTTGCTACAAAGTCAAGTTTAAAATCTGCTCTAATAAATCTGAGCAACAAAGACTTTTTCTTGAGAATATGAGGTTTAACACTGCTTGAATCAATCCTCTGACAGTCTGAGGAAATTTTATCCTGGTTTCCTGCTGTTTAGAAGAAAATGTACCCTTGGAAAGACTTTCACATGCATTGATTTACACCTTAAAATTCATGTTAAAAATATATATATATAATAATAATAATAGGCTTGAAATATAATATCTCTTCATTTTCTTCGTATTTCTTTTGGACATATTTATCAGCTCAGATAGAACTACAAATGACCATTCATAAACTTTTTTTGAAATACTTTTTTTTATCAGAATAGAGGAAAAACCATGTAGAATTCAGTTACTTCTGAACTGAATATGGTAATAGCTCCTTTACAGTTTATGCCTATCAGAACAAATAGAGCATGAAGCTTAGGATAGATGTGTGTGCTTAAAGTAAAGGAATGATAATCAGGATATACAGGTTCCACCACTGTGCCTTTCTGGATGATTGTCCTTAAGATCTATCTCATATGAATCCTATGTGAAGGATCCATCTCAAATGGACACTCATATGAAATCTACCAGTTCTGCCTCTTTAGCAGAAATTAGGAGTACTCAAGTGAGCCTTAACAGGCACAGTTTGGGGTTGGGGACCCTTATCAGAAACTGAACTCCTTTTACCAGAATTGAGGTAAGCATATGTCTCTGTCAGTTCAATTTTTCTTTCAAGGCATAGTATCTTCTGTGACAATCATCCTTTGTGAGAATTTCTAGGAGTAGTTCTTCTTTTAGGAGGAGGTGAGGAAAGAAAACTTGTTTTCACTCATGAAGATGATGTTTTGGCAGTAGAATTCTGTTTCAATTTGCATAGATACTTTGACAGAAAGGGCAGTGGGATGAAAAGGTCACCCCCTCTGTCTTTTAAATTCTGAAAATATTTACTTTCTAAGAGTTTTTAAAGCCTCAGTAGACAAAGGAAATAATGGAATTTAGTAGAATAAAACTGGCCAGGCTTTTCATTGGAAGTTAAAATCATTTAGGTCTATGATTTAGGATATGAGTTAGGTCTATGAGTCAGGATAAGAACTTGCAGTCACTTTTGCATCTTCCATTTACCTGCTATGATCAGTGCATGCAAAAGCACACTGCATGACCAGTGACCTTTAAGAAAGTGGTACCAAAGACACTAAAATGAGATTATTAAGCCTAGAAGCTTCCCTGTTTCTAAAGTGATACTTATGTCTGTATAATTTTATATACACACCAAATGAGAATTTTACCACTGATTTCAAGGAAAGTCAGGCTTTAAAGATATGTTTTTTGAGTTTTTTACATGTCTGTCTTTGTCAAAACTTGCTTTACTGTTTCAAGATTGATATTATTTTACATAAGTTTCTGTACATAAAGATCAATATGTACTAGATAACAGTGTGGGTGAGGATTTTTAAGTGTGCTAACAACAATTTTTTTTAAATTCAAGCTATAATAAGTACAATCCTTTTAACATAATAATAATAATAGTACTTTTTTTTATGCTAAACACATTTGGGAATATACAAATTTTCACAATATCACAATTTTTCTAGTGCCTATGTTTGTTTAAAAGTCAAAACAAAGCAAACTGTGTGACATTCAGTAAAATTTAAGGTTAAACACTCTTAAATTAATATAACTGAGAATGTTATCAGTTCAGCTATTTCAGACAAAACAAATGTATAGAAAAGTCCTTAGAGAGAGCATCTACTGTGATTGAAATCAAAGAATGACTGTTCTAGTTAATCTAAATAAAATCAAGATTTACTTTGATTGCAAAGTCCATTTCAGAAAAGGATCTACTGTATTAAAACTTTTCTATTCCTACAATGATGGATGGCTGCTCATAGCTGATCAAGAAAATTGGCATTTGCTGAATTTTGGATGCTCTGTTTTTATCCACAGTGCTGAGGGACTAGGTATTTTTATTTTTCTTGCAGTGGTGACCAAGTTGTGCAATAGACTGTCCTTTTGTCTACTGTAACTAAGCCACTGCATTACAACTGTTTTCCAGACTGCTTAGTGTTTTTTCCATCACAACAGCCTAGTCCTATTTTCTGCCTCTTTGACAAACATGATCCATTTCCCTTCTGTTTCACATCTCCTCAAATTCCTCCCCTGCCCATCCTCTGACTCATGAAGCTAAGGTCCTAAGACCATTATGACAGGATGAATGAGGAAGAGAGGAGGTGGGCTGGCAGTCTGTAAGGACTTGCTTATCTCTGTGAGAAATATCTCACCTTACTATTCCTTATCTGCAGTGGCTTGAGTTCCCAAACCAGCAGAGATCTAGGGCCTGAAGTGAAGGAGAAAAATCCTCTTATTGAAAATACTCTAAGGCCCCTAGTGGTTTTCCATTCAAAAATTTCAGAAATTATAGTCATCTGTGGATTTTATATTATCATTATTTTTAGCAGAGTGCAAAATTTCAAAAGAATCACCATGAAACTTATATTAGAGTGCTGTTTCTGATTTGAAAGCAGCTATGTCTCCTAATTTCTCAGGCTTTCCTGTAAGAAATCACATTTCCATTATGTGATGTAGTCATTCCTCCTTTGTCCTGTTCTCTGGCCTACATGTTATTATTTGTCTGTCCTTTCTCATTGCTTTTTTCTCTTTTCTTCTTGTAGGTGTGATAGCAGTTGTCATATTCATCCTACTTTGCATCACGGCCATAGCCATACGCATTTACAAAAAAAGCATATACTCAAAAAATGAGACAAAAGGATCTGAAAATGAAGACAGTGCTGAATCTGCATTGAAAAGTGAGCTCAGCATGCAAAACACAGCCAATGAAAATCAAAAGGAATACTTCTTCTGATTGTCATTAATGATTTAATCTAATATAATAAGGTGACAGTCTGATTTTCTTGCTAAGCCAGGGGGCTCTCATTGGACAGAAAAAGTTCTTGCACACTACTCTAAATGCAATGGATTTGAGATTTACTATACTCGATATGTTCAGTCTCAGTGATTGCTGTAGCAGGCCTCTTTAAATTACATGCATTCCTTAGCTATTATACCGTAAATGCATTTTATGTAACAGTGAATTAGATATTGTAACCAATTTCATTGTTGGTAGTTTCCGACTGTTCTAGTGTGACCTTCTACAAATGAAGTTTAATGTACACACTGAATATGATTTCTGAATGGGAAAATTGTTATGAATTTATTCCTATCCTTTTCTTTAAAATTGGATTGATGATTTTTGTTCAAGGTGAAAGGTAGATTCTTATACTTTGTGTTACTAAAGAAATTCCGCTGTGCTGCATTATGGTGATCCGTCTTACTTCCTCAAACTGAAAATGCCTTTTGAGCTGCTGTTGGCTGGTGTCAGCATCTGCTTGTGAGCCATGGCATTTGATGACCAGAACAAACTGTATTTATTTCCCCTGGGATGTGACTGATATCTTCATTATCCCTTCCGTTTGGTGGGCTTAGCAGAACTGAAGAGTGTACAGTAGGTTGAAATACTTTAAAATCTCTTTTGCAGCAGATTTTCACTTATGGTCAGGTGGTGGTACCTAGAGACTCATGCACATTCTGGGTATTTTAAATAAAATATGGGGGAAAAATGCAAGACCTTTGCTTGGAAAGTAAAATGCTAACAATAGTTAATTTATCAAGAGTGAAAACACCAAAAGATGATCAAGGTTACTGTCCCTAGAAATTAGTGATGATGCTTCTGTCAAGAAGTAATGCTCAGTGCACTATCTGGGATGTATTCACTGGAACTGTTGTATCTGTGATTTGATCCAGACCTCAAGACTAATTTTTTCCAAGTTATAGGAATTATACAGAGTCTGCTACATGAACACTTTTGATCTGCACTCTTAATAGCACCTACTATACCTCTGTGAGATAAGGTCCGATTACACCACTCAAAATTAAACTTTCGTCAGGTGCTTACTATGCTGACAGAGTAAATGAAAGCTATCTATGTTGTATGAACAAATTGTTAGATATGAAGGCTAGATTTATGTTGTCTTAAAAAAAGATTGTAATATTACTTTAGACACCGTAGGGTATATGAAATGCCTGTGTGGTTTGACGTAAATATCATAGATTCTACAGAAGGTGTGTGTCTTTTGAGAAGAGACAAACAGGAGTTGGGTAGAAGGTATCATAAATGGCATTAGATGACAATATTTAGGTAACTGACCCACACAAAACATTTTTCTGTTTTCCCAGTCAGATCACTTGGTGTCTAGGGCTTGGATCTGAGAAAACAGGATTTCTGTGACCTTGTACACTTGAGTTTGAAATTTAAATATCTTCCAGAATTGATTTATATCTACTCCCATTGAAAGCAATGAGAACAGTCATTGTTTTTCTATTTGAAGAATCACAGCTAGACCCTAGATTGTGAAGTTTAGAAGATGTTTATCATAGGTGCCCAACAACATTATAAAGACATGGAAAACTGACATGGTATGCCAAAACCTTTAATATGTCAATTTCTTTACATAAATAGCAATTGTAAATATAAATGTCCAGTGGATATTTTCATTTAAAACTTATTTTCTTCCATTAGTCTTCACTTTCTACCAAAAATTCTACCATTCCTTTCCACTTATTCCCTTCTATACAGATTTACTTAATTTTTAGAAAAAATTTATTTCCTTTTTTGGGTGCCTGGATGCTCTGCAATCATAAATTATTCAGATTAACATGTAGTGCTTACTTGTTTTCAGTTCTGCAATTCTGCTTGCATCTCTGAGAGATTCATCAGGCTGAGGACCCAGGATCAAAACTGTATCCATGTTGTGGTACAGTTTTCTCCATGATAAGAGGTCACCTTTAGAAAGGCTAGAGTACTGGACTATTCCAAATAAGTGATGAAAATATCCTGTTAGTGGATGAGGAGTGGTGGAGGTGAAACCCTCGCATGAGCCATGACAAGAAGACCTTGAGTTATTAGGTTTACTGATTGGAACCTTCTCATCCACCTACTTTGAAGTGAAAAATTGTGATTCCTTTTTGAGGCTGTGACCTAAATTGCATTAAATTTGAGATGAGCCCTCTCATGGACTTCACTGCAACCAAAGCCTCTGCGTTTCAGGAGGTTTTCCCCTTCTTCTGTAGAAATGTAGGTATCCACCTCTTAGTGCCACTTATATGAACAGATTCATCTCCAGGGGTGTGTCCCAGTCAACTCCATTTTTTATTGTTGTGGGATGTAGTAACAATGTGGGACAAAACCTACAAGACAATGATGATTATAGTACACCAAAGCAGATATTTTGATTAAATTATAAAAGGCAGATTGTCTTTTATCTTGACTCTCATATGAAAATTGCTCATATAAACTTAATAAAGCCTAAAGTTTACCCACAACAGGACAGGTTGGAAGAATGTAAACCTAACTCTTCAATCACTTGCTCTTAGTTTTATTGCCTTGTAAAGTTTTATTGTGCGTCTTCATGGAGAGAAAGTTCTCATTCCTTGCTATTTTTTGTTCCAAGTGAATATTTTCTTTCTCTATTCCTCAGAATTTTTAAAAGGAACAGGAAGGGAAAAGCTTAGTAAAATCCCTATTTCAGAGACTAGCTAAAAAGGTGGAGGAGGATAAAAATGCCTGTATGAGTGCCACATTATTTCATTCAAAGGCTTCTTGTAAGGCATTTTATTTTGTGAGGGATTCTAAGAGGGAAAAGATATATGGATTTTGTTGAATGAACACCTGTAGATTTGTAGAATAAATCAATTATGTCTCCCTGAAGATGCAAATGACCATTGTCATCTGTAGGAACAGTGATCATATGTTTGTCACCTTAATCTAAAATATACATGTTTGAAATCAATGAAGCAGCATTTCTCATTACTTGCTGCATTTATATGGGGATAAAAAAATGGTGGCACCGAAGTGCGCTAAAACGTCATACAACATTGTGCTGTCCCTTTTTGATTCTCTATTCCATTGTGTGACTTTTCACCTCACTGTTAATAAAGACTTTTTAAAATAAAGTGAGGAAAATATTTTTTAAAAGAATTTGTATTAAAAAGTTTAAAACTGACAACAATATACTGATTTTTTTTTTTTCAACAGTAAATATATGTAGAAGTGCACATAATATATTGGTGAGTGTGGTTATTTATAGATACTTCGGAGCACTAATGTGACAAATTTGCTATGCATTGACACATTTTCCATGGCAAATATATTTTTTCTTAAGTACCTTAGAAAATAAATAGCGGCGTGTATGCTGGTACATTTTTAAAGCTTTGTGTGGGCTCTAGCTACAAAGGGCTTATAATTATTTATGTACTCAACATTTAGCATATAAATATGATTTAGTTAGGTTTGGGGAAGACATTTTCCAATGCATCCAGTGTTGTGTAAATGAAGAATATGTCATATACCATGTACACAACTTAACATGAAATGTGGTCACAGTCAAAATAAATTTACAGTATCATTATTCATGGCAGTGATGTACAAGGAAAAAGGCATGTAAAACATAAGATTCCTTTAAAGAATCATCTGCATAAATTCAGAACGTTCAACTATTGCAAGTTAGCAGAGGATTGATATGAAAACATCCCTTTGAAATAAAATTAATTACCTTTAGAAGTAACTGTAGTTGTTTACACTCAAGGTAGAGATATAGTCACGTAAGCCATTTGATGCTATAGGAAAAGAATGTTCTTAGTAACAGAAAAAAATATTTCCAGAGTCAGAAAACCTAATTCTGAAAAATCTTGTGCTCTATTCTGTGAGTGCAATGCACATTCTGTGGAGTCAATATGCAGAAACATGGCATAATTTTTTGCAAATTAAGCACCTAATTCTGCAGCCAAACGTATGGTAATTCCTTACTGTTTCCGATCATTTAATGAGATTGTACATTATCAAGAAGGAAGAAAAGTAAAAAAAATCTTACAGGAACAAGAGCTGACTGAAGAGATACATGTGTAAAGGTATGGGAGTAGTTTCAGTGCTGGGTTTAAGTGCACACAACATGCTTAAAAGAATATAGAACAGAAAGGATGTGCCCTTTCAACTTCTTATTAGAGCCTTCTTCTGGGGCCTTTTGGTGGTGGTGGTAAGGAAAGAAGGGTTTAATGAGTTTGAATACAAAAATTCTGAAGCTGCTAACTTGAGAAACTGAAACAAAACCACAAGGGTGTTCATAGACTGTGCTTTGCTAAGAAGTCATACACATCTTTATTTGTGAAGGACTGTCTGAAAAGTAATTTTTGCCAAAACCTGTCACTATTCTTTTGATACATTCCCCAAACCTCCTTAGCTTTGCTCTTCCCATTTCTAAGAAAGGAATCAGACATCACAATATCATCACAGAGATGAATGCCCTTATGTCAAACACTGTCACACAGTCTCACTTAAATTCATGTGGATTTCTGATGTATGATGAAATGTTTCTAACATTTTGTATTAATAACACTGAATGAATCATTCCTAAAACCCTTAGTATATAGAATGGTAAATCCACAGTAATAATGAGCTTATGAGGAAACGTGTATGTACACACATGCACACACAGATGTAGATGAGCTATGAAGTCATTGCCAACTATGCTTTAAATTTATCACTTTCTTTGCGTTATGTCAAATATTGAAAAATGTCTGGAGTTAAAAAACATCCTCCCCACACTTTCTACATTTGGAAATATTCAAACCATTTCAAGAAATTGTTGATATTTTCAGGGGTTTTTCAAGGGGGCAAAAAAATAAGATCTTGAAGTCTCCTCCAGGACTGTAAGACATAGCCAACCAGACTGCTAATAGAAAAGCTTGCAGGCAATATCTATCCCACCCTTAGATGTATAGCCTTGAAAAAGACAGGGCCTCTTGTTGGAG